TATGCTGGCTTCAATGTTCCAAAAACACATTTCAGCTTTGAACCGAAGTGCGCTGATTTTGAGAGAGACTGGATGCGGTGTGCTAAGGGTCTTGGGTACACAAGAGCCTTCAAGGAATGCGATTTTGAATACTCAGACTTCATAGAGTGCGTGCGAGATACTAAGAAGGTGAGAACTTAGTAGAGAAAAAGAATTTTGTAGCAAAGGCGGGCCAAATCATAATATAAGAGAATCAGAAGTTTCCTTTTCCTTGTCACGCTGATACTCTCCAATCTTCCAAACGAACTTAGGGACATTTCAGAACTCTGTCTTTAAATGTGCACTCAGGACTTTGCTTGTTTGCCTAGTACTAGTAGTGTGTCTGTTTTCTGTGTTGTGCTTTTGTAAATTGCTCAGACGATAGTTGTGGCGCTTGTGATTTCCATGGGCATTTAATGCATCAGTATACTGCCTAAGTTTTTTCTTTGAGCAATTTGCACTTTCTGATATCAAGGAAGAGGAGCATTATAATTGCCTGTATCAGTACTAGTATGTGTCACTTTATTTATTTAATACAGTGTTAAATTGTAAAATTATAGTTCTAATTGGGAACTGCACTTTAAATACAGAAATTAATAAAACAATAATTGTTCATGTCTGCTTTCTCTTTCAGAATAACCGCTATATTGCAATCAAAAAGCAGAGAGCTAAGTTAATCAAGGAAGGAAAGTACACGCCACCACCGTACCCTACAGAACAACTTAACTGAGGAATACTTTTACTCTCGTAATGGAAATGAGTCTCAGTCGCAACAATTGTATGGTTTTCATTAGGAATTTGAACTTGTTGTGAAACCATAGCAATAAACTTTTAAAGTAATGAATATTCATTGTGGGGACAGTGATGGTTATCAGCCTTCTGATGGGAGTCTATTGAATGCACTGTGTAATGATAGCAGGTTTTAGTAAAGAATGTGTATGATATGCTAATGATTATTGTAATTCAGTAGCTGTGATTGTTTAGATAATTTGACTGCAGTAGGATGAAGCTGGGTATTGTTGCTGATTATTGTTTATTTCGTTTTTACATTGATCTTTTACCATAAAACACATGCATGGAAGTCCCTGCTTCTTTTCTTGCTGTCACAGACTCTCAATGCAAATTTTCCCTTTTCTGACTTGCTGATGCTTCAAGTAAACTATAAAATCAAATACAAATTGTTATTGTGTTTTCTTCTTTCTAGATAACTAACATTTATATAATATATGGCATTAAATCAGTTTAATTTTTTACCAGGGGTGGCGCCACGATTTGC